ATTTGGGGTTGTAGAGGTCTTCGCAGCGGGCGCAGTAGAGTTTTACGGGGGAGGCGTTGGGGACGTCGGATTGACCCATGGGGAGGAGGGGTTGCGATTCGCACATTACGCGGGGGCATTTGCCAAAGTCTGACTTCTTGAACTTCTCAAGCTGGGTGGTGCGTTAGTTGTGTGCGCGATGCATAGGATATAAGCGTCTGACGTACCATCTTGGCAAGACCCCTGGTAGTGACGATGTATCGTGCGTGGACGAGTCCGTAGAGATGCCGTGCCGACTTCTCGATCTGTTCCCGCATATCATCGTCGCAGTCGAAGTCGAACACGTCTGTGACGAGATCGAGTGCATATTGGTAGTACTGAACTTCAGTGTTCAGGCCCGTTAGGTTGAAGCGATCGGTGAGGTATTCTTCGTCAATCTCGCAAAAGTATTCGTTTCCTCGAGAGGATATGAACTACTTGATTGTTAGCCTGCGTTGAAATAAATAGCTGTGCCTTCTCTTCTACGCTGTCGTGATCTTCCCACCAGTCGGACCACCACTCGCTCTGCATGAGCATGAGCGGGCCCCATTTGGCCGAGAAGATAGTGTAGTCTTCATCCACTTCGAACGAATGGGGGCACCTCAGCGTGGAGATATAGCCGTCTTCGCCGCAGTCACCGCTGGCGCATGGTCAGACGCGACCTGCAATGAAGGGCTGGCAGAGCATACCACGCCATGAGGTACCTATAGTTCCACCCCGACGCCCCCAAGGTTTGCAGAGACATGACCAGCGATCAAAGAATACCGGTATTGGTAATGTATGGAGTTCAGGTACTCACCCAGTCTCGCCAGTAGCTTGTGTAGTCGCTGTCCGTGTCGCTGTTGAAGTCGTCCATGTTTGCGCTTGCTCTCGGCGACGATGTCCGGGGGGCTTAGGGCGTTCGTATGTCTTGTTTGTAGGCTGCGACCACCGGCGGGGTGGGGCGGTGCGATCAGGCGCAAGCTCGGGTCGGGACGCGGTTGCGGAGTGAATTGCGCGCCCACCTAGTGGGATGGCAGTCGTCGCATCCCACCTCCACTGCTTGTTTCTCCGCTCCGGTCGCGCTAGTCGCTTGGGCCGCGTCCCATCAACATGACAACCCCAGACTTCCCCACCAACCCTGTCTACTGGGTCGCTAACCATCTGTGCCAGTATCTGCGTACAGTAGACGGTCTCGACTTCAAAAACCGTTCCGGAAGAGATCCCTGGGTCCCGACCATGTTACGGGGCAGGTACGTGCACGTGAGGTGCCTAAAGATTGATTGCACGAAGTCAATCAATGTCTTACTACATTTCGTACACCGATGTCACTTGCTTAGAGTTTGATGTACGACGCCAGTAATCGACTTACATCAATTCTTACATGAATCTTACTTGCCATTAGGCTAAAATATTCACTGTTCCAAGGCTCCGCTGCTATTTCTTCGCATGCAATACCGTCTGTTTGTTAGCCAAGAACTCTATTTCCTTGTCATATAGCTTGCCTGTGATCCGTTGCCATCATATCGCGGATACTTTGTTTCGTTCGTTGAAGTCCACACGACTTCAAAGCAGGTATTCATAATCAATCGTCTTCTTCTTAGTCGCGCTTACCGGCGAGAGCTATCTCATATCCCCCCTCACATCCCTCCACACTGGTGACTAGTGTCTTGTCAACCACCCCGTTATCACGACGTGCGCGATGTGTGCCGCCGCAACCGCTCTCCAGCCTATTGCTAGGTTCTGCTCTCAGCTATCTACCATACTCCAGTACATGCCTACCCTTACTGTTTATGGTAGAATGAACTCTCCCATTGACGCGAACCGTCTATTCAGAGATACTGAAGCGCGGTTCCCGGAAAGATGGAGGAAAGATGGATGGTACCTTTCCACCGTGAGTACGCTCATCCCAGGAGAGAGTTCAAAGTTGACATTGCGCGTGTTTGACAGACAGCAGCACTTATCGCCAGCGGCCAGCCGGGTCTGATAGGTCCTCTCTACAACTACATCATCTCACAGCCGTCATATCAGACGTCTGCGGAGAGACAACGTCTCGTACGGCGCATGAGAGAAGCCATGATCAAATGCATCATTCTCAATGGCATTCCCGTCGTCATGGAAGCTTTCGTGTCTCTTGCGAAGCAAGAAAAGCCCGAAGATCAGGATCACAGTTTCACCCGTAAGGATTGGAAAGCTGATGGAGCTAACCACAAGCGCGGTCTCGAGGTTCTTGAAACGCTTTATGGCGATGATAATGAGAAAATCTGGGCATCATTTGGTTCACACAAAGACATACGTGAGTGCCCTGCGACTCTCCGCTGCTCTCCGTCTTGATGCTAATGCGCCATGTAGCATGGCTCTCGACCGACATCTCTTATGGTCTGTTCCTGGCCGATCACAACACTCTCGATATCATCGAATCTGAGCTCGTTATCTTGCCTGCGATCATGTGCCAAGGCCTCGTTCCTTCAACGAAATGGCATCTACGTGGGTGTCTCCGAGTCGGTTGCACACGTGAGGAAGTGGAATGCATACAACAGGTTATTGAACATATCGCAGAAACCTGTGGGAAAAAACTGAAAGGTCTGCCGAGAGTTTCAGATATACCTACAGATGAGATGTGAAGGACCAGCAAGGTCAAAGAAGCCCTGATGATATCTGGAAATATGTTGGTGTACCGGCTATGTTGTACTGCTACAAGATCAGGCAACAGGGCTAGCTCTCGATGTATTAGTAGCATGTTTTCCAAAGCGTGGAACGGCGCCAAACTGCTCGACTAGATCATCGAGATACATGGTTTGCTCCATGTCTAGCCTCTTTGAGTGAGCTTTCTCATCTTATTATGTAACCCAACTTACCTTTGAGATGATTCATGCAGTCAATGCAAGCTCATCAGATCAATACTTATGGCACATAAGGCTTCTCATTGCGTTGAATTCTGGTTATTGTAGTAGCACAGGCGTAGTCTTTGACGTCACTTGAGAGCATAGTGCAGTAGGTCTTGCTCCCGCTTCACAACTAATCGAGAGAAAACCGGGCATAGAGAAGTACGCGTAGGATTGGTATCAACAGCATGTCTATCTCAAACCTTCGCCGCCGCTGTCAAGTACTGCTGACTATGCGGGTAGTCGATATACCCTTTCGGTGTCTTTGGAGTGTAGAAAACAGAGCGGTCATACTTGACCAGTGGTACGCTCTCCTTAACGCGGAAAACCAGATCAGGGTTGGCAACGAAATATCTCCCGAACGCAATGATAACGTCGTAGTCCTTGTACGTCTTATTAACAGTTTGCTTCGCTGAGTCGGGTAGGAAGCCACCTGCAAGCATGACTGGACTCGCGTTGCCCCATTGCTCAACCATCCACTGTACGGTCTTCTGGCCTCCGCATTCAGAATCGTCATTGCCGGTGATGCGGGCTTCGATTAGGTGGAGATAAGCCAGACCCAGTTTCTTCAGCTCTTCAGTGAGGTATTCGAAAGTCGGCTCCGGCTCGTCCATTAGCATGCCGTTGAAGTCGCTGTAAGGGCTGAGGCGCATTGCTGTTCTTTGAACACCAACGGCAGCGATAACGGCTTTGGTAACTTCGAGATGGAACCGGGCGCGTTGTTCAATACTTCCTCCCCAGCTATCGGTCCGTTGGTTGCAAGTCGTCTGGAGGAACTGATCCGGCAGGTATCCATTAGCACCGTGGATTTCGACGCCGTCAAACCCCGCAGCAATTGCGTTCTTGGCAGCATTCGCATAGTCTGCTATGGTTTCCCAGATCATCTCCTCTGTCATTTCCACTGGTGTTCGGTCTTGGGGTGTGATGGGCACAGCGCTGGATGACACCAACGTGATGCCTTCTGCGTCCAGCGCATCGGTCTTTGCGGCTCGGCCTTGATGCCAGAGTTGGCAGTATATCGCACATCCTTTAGCATGTACTGCTGACGTGATGTCTTTCCAAGAAGCGATGTGGTCTTCTTGCCAGATTCCTGGAGCATTCTGGGCGCCGATGGCGTTCCTGGAGATGATGGTTGCTTCGCTGACAATAAGGGTGCCTGGTACACATGCTCGTTGCTCATAATACTCTGCGATACTTGGTCAATATCGGCCCTTCGTAGTGACGGTGTTCAAGGTACCTTTGTTCATAGCTGTCGCCTTGTAGTCGTCGCCCATGCGATACCGGGTCAATGGCGCCATAGCGACACGATGACCCAACTTTACATCTCCGACTGTCAATGGTTGGAAGAGTTTCGTCATCTTGGCAGTCGATGTTGGTACAACAGAAGACGAGGGAGGATCTGATCAAGTAGTCTCGCAAGAACTGTAATGGCCTACAATGTCAATGCTTCGTTGCTCTTTAGAGCGTGCATGGCTATGTTTACCACACATATTATGGCCATTGCCCAAGCCTTGTGATGGGTCACCATGGTCGTTATCGGCAACCCACCTGAGCAGCCTCGCAAACCCCACCTGACACATGGCATCTGTCAGTCTCAGCCGTGATGCCGAGAACTCGCCTGAATACCCTCAATGCCGTTTTCAGCGTTATGGTCCGATGTCGATACGAACAACCATCGGCGAAGAGCCCCAGGGGCCGAAAGTGCGTCGGCTCAAAAAGTCCCGATGAGATGGCCCCGCACGTGCCCTGTTAGGACGACCCACTTTGCAGCCTCGCCGTCATCGGCTTTCATCCCATAATGCCACTTACGCCATCGAAGCGTGTAAGCGTTTCTACCATGTGAGTGGGCCCCTCGACTGTGACTGGCTGCTTTCGCAATTCTTCTACGAGGAACACACCTCCCGACGATCTCGCAGCTGTCGACCGGCGTCATGGCAGGGCTCAGTCCCGCTCGGACAGCCTCCCGGGGCTCCACGCCCAACTCCAACGCTAGCTACGATGTTTTGGACGTTGGTCTTGTTCCAAATATACACATACGCAGAATCGCTATGTTTTTGAGGCTTGTAGCGACTGTGGAAGAATCCGATGATGCGGGAACAGCAACCCTCCATTGACGAGATGGAATCGACGCGACCCATCAAAGAGAGCGATACATGCGTTGGCAATACTCTCGTTGAGAAGCCATCCATAGACGACAAGCCATGCGAATCAGACATACCTACAACGAATCCTCATGGCGCGTCCCCTTCGCCTACCGAGGATGACGACGACAAGAGCGACGCAGCATCCATTGGCGGCCAAAGGAACACTATGACATCGACGCAACTTCGAATCGCAATCCCCGCACTATCAGTCTGTCTCTTCGTTTCGTTCATCGACCAAACCAGCGTCTCAACAGCAACACCCGCGATCGCTGTGGATTTGAACACCGGAACTGCAACATCATGGATCGGTACATCGTTCCTGATCGCATCGACGGCGTTCCAACTGATAAATGGTCGTTTGTCGGACATTTTTGGTCGCAAGAATCTGTTGTTGATCAGCCTCATGTTGATGGCTCTGGGAGACCTTGGATGTGGCTTCGCGCGGACTTCAGTGCAGCTCTTCGTTCTGCGTGCCATTGCTGGTATTGGAGGTGGCGGCATCAACAGTCTTGTCATGATCATCGTTAGCGATATTACGACGTTACAGAACCGTGGCAAATACCAAGGTAAGGACCATTAACTATCTTACAACCGAGCAGTGCTGATACTTCTACGCAGGATGGCTAGGTGCAGTCATCGCCCTGGGGAATGGTGCAGGACCTTTTCTTGGAGGCGCTATCGTTGAAGGCGCGACTTGGAGGTGGGTGTTTTGGATAATACCCATCATGACTGTACCCACCTCTATGGTCATCCTGTTCTTCCTACCGCTCAAGCATCGGTCTGGTGACTACCTCGCAAAGGTCAAGAAGATTGACTATGGCGGCATGGTGCTGAACATTGCATCCACCTTGCTCGTGCTCATCCCCCTGTCAGGAGGTGGTGTGACATATGCATGGGGATCTCCCTTCTTCATCGCCTGCACTGTCACCGGCGCCGTGCTAGGTGTACTATTTGTACTCCACCAATGGAAACTCGTCGCTCTCCCGATCATGCCGCTTCGATTATACCGCGCGCCGCACTGCTGGGCACTTTATCTACAGACGTTCCTCATCGGCCTGGCTTACTTCGGCAACTTCTTCTACCTCCCTATTTACTTTCAATCGGTCCTCAGGTACTCGCCCCTGGCCTCGGGTGCTTTGATTCTACCAGTAGTCATCACGACATCTTTTGCGTCCATCGCATCTGGTCAGTACATGAACCGAGTCGCCAGCTACATGCACTGCATCCTGGCCGGATTCGCCCTCTGGACTCTTGGAAGTGGCCTCACCCTACTATTCGACCGGGACACGGGTCTTGCTGTGTTAATTGTTGTACTCATCATAGAGGGTGCCGGTATTGGTCTGACGCTCCAGCCGACGCTTGTAGGCATGTACGCGAACAGTCGCAATGAAGACCGCGCTGTGACAACTGGCTTACGCAACTTCATCCGCACTATCGGTGGCGCTTTTGGTCTCGTCATCTCGGGAGTTATCCTTTCGAATACGCTCAGCAGAGATTTGTCCAAGCGGCCCTTTGTTTCGGATACCCTAATGGCCCAGTTGACTTCCTCAACGTACGACCTCAATAAGTTTGGCCTCTCTCTGGACGAGAAAGAAGAGGTTTTTGATACCTACATGCTTGGTCTGCATTACATCTTCATCTTTTTCACAGTATGCTCAGGTCTTGGTCTGGTTCTGACGTTCTGGGTTGGAAACACCAGTTTGAAAGCGCCGAAAAAGCCGGACGAAGAAGAAGGACAGCCGATAGAGTCGCAGGACGAGCCCCAGCAGCAAGTCATCCAAGGTCGAGAAGTCGCGTCGGAAGGGGAGGTCTTTGATGAGAAGAGGCCAATGACAGGGGAGGCTGACGTAGAACGCAACGTTCACACAAGATGAGTGATCATGTAGCACATCATCAGGGCTCAAGGATGACTTTGCGAAGTACTTGTTCGGGCCTTGTTGATTTCAAAACTTAAAAAGTCTCATCGACATATATCATAAAAGTTTTATAGTATCTACCATGTTCACCCGACGGGGAGATGAGGATCGCGTAGGCAGTAGTCATAAGAATATTCCACTATCAGAGCAAACCCTTCGAGCCGCACGTATGTATCCAGGCCTTTTCCATAAGTAGCATGTCCATGTATTCGCCTTCCTCTGACGCTGTCCTGATGGCCAAGGATCAGCTGAGTGAAGCGCGACTATCGAAATGGGGTCATAAAACGTACACCAGCGACTTCGGAACTTGAGCGCAACATTACCCCGCAGCAAGACCCATCTTTCACTATCAATTTACAAGAAGAACCATCTCCAACTCAACCTGGTCTTTAATCCTTGGTATGCCAACTTAGGTAGGTCAGTGCAGCCCCATAAAAGCCGGTCGTTATCGGCGAGTCGAGATTGGCCTATCTCTCGACGATCCCCCTCCAAGCCATGTTCTCCATACGGTTTCTTCCAAGCCGATAAACATTCATCCGTCTGATAACACCGCGGTGGGTCACAGCCGGCCGCAGAAATGACATCGCATCGTGAGGCACGGCAGAGGATGGAAGATGGCCGATTACGTGAGGACGTCACGGATGAGAATGGCCGATAGCTAGGTAGGCGCTGCAAAATGGCCGCCGTGACATGCTCCGCTGGTGATACATATATGCTGCATCGCGAGACTTGAATGTTTACTACTTCAAATCCATCACATCTTCTGTAATCAAATCAAGCTTACTGTCCTCCAAACATCGTCATCATGCCTGAAGTCTACGCCGCACCCCCCGACTACGCCTTCCCCCGTAACTTCAAAGGTTACGGCGAGAAGGGTCTCCAGGGCTTGAAGTGGCCCAACAATGCCAAAATCGCAGTATCTTTCGTCATCAACTATGAGGAGGTGAGTTCACATGCAATCTTATCTCAGATGCATAACTAACAAACCACAGGGTGGTGAACGCTCAGTCATGAAAGGTGACGGAGTATCCGAGATCAACCTCCGCGAATACCCAGCCCAACACAGAATCAACGAGCGCGACTACAGCGGCGAATCAGAATTCGAGTACGGCTCTCGCCGTGGCTGGTGGCGCATGTTCAAGCTCTTCAACGACTACAAGATGAAGTTCACCCTCTACGCCGTCGGCTCCGCCGTCGAAGAACAGCCAGAAGTCGTTACCCGATGTGTGGAAGAGGGCCACGATGTTGCTTCTCATGCCTACCGCTGGATCGATCACGCCAATCTTTCTGTTGAGGCCGAGAAACAGCATATCAGGGATGGTATCACGTCGCTGAAGAAGCTCTCCGGCTATGCGCCAAAGGGATGGTACTACGGCCGTCCGTCACCACAGAGCAGAGCGCTCATTCCGCTCGTATACGAGGAGATGGGTGAGGAGCTGCTTTGGGCCTCAGACGCCTACGCAGACGACCTACCCTACTGGACCGACCTTCCCCAGGAGCGCAACAGCGCAAACCCCAAGGGCTGCCTGATGGTTCCCTACAGCTACGACTGCAACGACTTCAAATTCCATTGCCAGGGAACTGGTTTCCGCAGTACGGCTGCGTTCTACGAGCACATGAAGAACTCTTTCGATGTGCTGTATGAGGAGGGCGAGGCTGGAGAGCCGAAGATGATGACCATCGGTCTGCACTGCCGTATCATTGGAAGGCCGGGAAGGTTCAAGGCGCTTCAGGACTTTGTGAAGTATATCTCGGAGAAGGAAGGTGTTTGGGTTGCGACTAGGACGCAAATAGCGGAGTCGTTCAGGGAGCAGTTCCCGTATAAGAAGGGTCAGCTCGCGTAGATGTTCAATCTAATCTGTTTCAACGTACAACTCGGAGTCGTTTGCGCACACAAGACTACGGTGACTGGGACCTTTCAGGACTAAAGCCATGACATCGCCTATCTATACTCTCCAAAATTCCACTGACTGCCATCCATCATGCCGCGGGTATCCATCGACATGGCTGCATCCTGAATGGGGTCCACGCCGTAGAGACCAGACCCTTCATACGCATTCCAGCTCATCTCAGTCTGACCTTGGCCAAAGCCATCGAACCTCATTGCTGCAGATGCAGTGTCATCGCTTACCATCTCATTCCACATCCGCCAACCTTGCCACCCGCCTGGTGCTTCTTCGTCCACTTCCATAAACGCCTCCTTCACAGCGTCAGTAACCATGTGTGACATGGTAGGCTTACTGCCTAGTGTTGGGTGCTGAGACGCCTGCTCGCGGCTATCTCGTCGGCTTCTTGGCGAAAGTCCTGCCATAGAAGGTTCTGCATCCACGTCGAGCTGCAGCGGCCGCGAACCATTGCTATGCATCATTGTGGTTGGTGCGGAGTTTACAATCGTTTTGAACAAACTTCCGGACAAGGCATCGAAGATGTCGCGATATTTGACGGCACCCGGCCACTTTTCGCCGAAGATAGTCAGGATCTGAGAACAGGCTCGTGTCGCCTCGAGAACGTCGTATGAGAAAAGGGATCGATCACGCCAGATGCAGTACACCAGTGTGAGACCAGCTACAAAGCACGAATGTAGCGAGATCATCGTGTAGGTTAGCGTCCGATTCTGGCTTAGTCGCTTGTATGCGTTGCAGACACAAGCGGCCGAGCGCGCGCAAGTGAGAAATCGTATGTCCGAGGTGTCCAGCGTAGGTAGAAAGACAGTGAAGAGATAGAGCATTGCTTTGTGATATTGAACGCCGTAAAAGTCTCGCGCATCGAGATATGCGCTTTCGGGATCGTACATCCAAGTAATCTTGTTCCCATTCTTTGGCGTCTGCGGATATGTTCGTAGCCATTCATCCAGGTCGCTCCGGATTGTAGCCATCTTCCGGTCAAGTTTGGCCCGCTGTTCTGGCGTCCCGTTGAAGACATCTCTATCGACACGAAAGACTGTCTTATGGATCCGCGACTGAATCTGATCAAGCTTGATGATGTGTATGAAAGGCTCGATGTTTGACCATTGGGGCCTGACCGAGTCTGGCTCTTCCGGATGCGTTAGTGTCCAGAACTCAGGACTAGTACTGGGAAACTTGAAGAGTCAGTTCACATATCATAGTCTACTTGGGTGACATACCTCGACGTTGATATCTCGGTCAGCGATAGCAAAAGCTCTACCGAGCACAATGCTAGTCACTCTGTCAAGGCAGTAACACGCCCAGAACGCACGTCGCCGCAGTTCAGCGTCTCTTGCAAGCTCAGGAGAGCCTGTGACCTTCTTCTTCCTGTGTAAGCCCATCTCAATGCAGACAGAAGTCGCATATCGAATCTGGGACCAGGCGCCTGCACCATATGGAGACCTCTGACCATGCACTCCAAGCAGGATGAGGAACTGCACTGTCGCAAGGTTGTGCTGGTCTAGGATGTAGTCCATTGGCTCGGTGGCCGCGACAAGATGATGCTCAGAATCCACCCCACATGGCTTCCGCGTCAGCGACAGGAATCGAGCAGTAATGGCATATATAAGGTGGAAAATGCTGCGTTCAATGATAGTGAGGGCACCTCGCACAAACTGCTTGTCGAAAAGCTTCGTGTAGACTACACGATCCAGCAATGGCCAGCGCGTGTGGATACGTTCGAAGAATACGTCAAATAGCATGCGTGCCTGTTGTCGGTCTGGGAAATCCGCAACTGGCTCATCGGAGTGAGTAGACTCGGGAGGAACAGGAGGCCGTGAAGTTCCGGTAGCCTGGCATGTTTGGTTCACTGGCAGAGTTGTTGCTCTCTTGCCAGAACTTCGGAAGATGGAGGACTGAATGATGCGAGCAATGGTAGCGCCGGAGCTAGAGCCGACATAGTAAGGCTCCGAGGTTGTATCTGTGGTACCAGATGCACATAAGGAGAGATACGCAACACCATCGACGAGTGAGGTGCGATCCTCACCCTCAAGATCTTCAGAAAAACAGTCATCTCGGGATTCGCGACGTGATGCATTGGACTGGGGGTGAAGAGCGAGCGCCGGCTCTTCAACGTTCATGGAAGATGTTCTTTGCAAAGTCTCTGGGCCGTTTTCATAATGGTCCTCTGCATGGTCAGGAAGACGGGCCTCCAGAAAAGCGATCCGCTCTTCTAGGGCGTTGATGTAGCTGAGAAGTCAGGAAACAGTTCGTGCGCATGTCAATGGCCGTGGGAAGGACCTACACAGATTTGCCGCCGGGGTACTGAGGACGAATAGTCCTTTCATACGCACAGGCTACGCCAGCTCGCTGGCAAGATCTGCAGACTGGATGCGCACCGTCACACTACATGATTCTTAGCCAAGGTGCATGAAGCAACGTCCCACGTGACGTACACGCTGCTTTCTCCGTTTGCATCTTTTGCAAGCCAAGGCCACCCGAGATTTCCTAGTCGCAGGACCTGGGTTTGAGGCGTTCGACTGAGCTTCCTTGGGAGAATTGGATGCGGGTACTGCGTCTGCGGCCGTTCCCATACCCCGACCGGAGGAGGGGCTTACGGGGCTCTCTGGGTAGGACTGCAACATGGCCTCGTCGTCAGGAGTATGGCGTTGATGCGACAGCCCTGCAGCTGTCGGCTCTGATTCATACCGTTTGGCTCCATATTTCCCACGTGCGATAGTCCCGTTGAGGCCCAGGTGGAATGTATGAGCCGACGTGTGTCTTATCGCGAATTATCCATGATAGGCTAAGATGGCACGGGCCTCCAATGGCTTTATCTCGGCTGCACCCATCCGGCGCCTGGAGACCCCAAAGATTGCGAAGGAACTACGCTATAACAAGTAACATATCGGAGTCCACATCCTCCTCCTATCTTCACCCCTGTTCTTTATCGCACCGCTCACGCTGATGTCAGGCTTGGGAATGATTGATGCGCGCATGGCAACATGGCACATCGGCTAGAAAGTGCCCGAAGAGGCTGCGCCAGAAGCCATGCCCGTGGTCAATCACAGCCCG